AAGGTCGGGATTAATATTTACATACTCTACTGTCTCTTACTTTTAGAAGAAAGATAAATTCTTCATTTAAATATTTAATTAATATTAACAACTCTTTTATTTATATATTTGTTCAAAATATTGGACATGTTTTTACGAAAGCCAATTCAAAATCAAAACCATATATCCCGACTCCCGACTTAAACAAAACATGATTAATACAGCCCATAATTTGTCGATTTCGGAGCACAGAGGAGCAGTTAATACTGCAACAATCTTACCAATGCAACATGCCGACAACATTGATCACGGCCCATGGAACATTTCGACTCTGTATTTTCTTGACAGAAGACATGGAACAAGTACAACGTGAGACATCAATACGTGGTTTCGCAACTGTATAGAGTGAAAAACTGGCTTCCTCATTGATTTATTTTTATTTTCCCAGAAAAGGAAAGTAGTGCAGCGCGCGGCCGCTCGCTCCCGAAGCTGCGCGTCTTTCGGATATGAAGGTCAAGGAGGGTGGAGCCAGCAAGACTGGACATGGCCATTAATTAAAACCTTGACCTGCATTTCAAGAATGAGTTCTCGAGCCACTTCCCATTTTAAAACTAGTCGTAAGGTTTGAGAAAGCTAGTGGAAGCCAGCAACTTGTTGAACCATGATCTTAAACACTTGATTACAGCTATATATTCAAACCATTCAACATGCAAATTGCTAATTATGAGTGAATCTCGGCGAATTTGTGATCGGACGGGAATTGATTAAGAAGCCTGTGTACTGTAAAGAATCATATGATCAGTTGCCACATTGCCAAAAGTATGGTCACCGGGCCCGGGGGCATGCTTTGTTACGGGCAAGATAAAAAGTCGATTATTGCATAAAAAAACATAATTGTCATTATTTTATTTATATGCCATGAGACATTTCAAATTAAAATTAAAAACTTGATTAGTTTATAAAATTAAATTAATCATGAGTTAGTAAATATAAAAAAAAATTAATGTGAATTGTTCGACCTAATAGGACAAGAAAGAACTAATTATCTTGTTTAAATAGCTAGTAGTCAAAACAAAACTTTCAAGTTAATATTTGTTTTAACTTCTATTTAATCCTATTAAGCTTAAATATGAAACAATAATTTTTAAAAAAATTAAATTGTAAAAATAATTTAGAAAATAAAATAAAAAACTGATAACATATTATATTAAGCCAGGTTAGTCTATTTATTTACAATTCAAGTAATAAACATGACTGCAATCAATTAATTTGATTGAATAATTTTTTTTCTTTTCTTAAATCTTGATTGAATCTTAATTGAACCGGACCAGGAACATGACTATAGTAAAATACCTCAATTGAATAGTATGTTTTTTTTTTTTGGTTTTCCCTTGACCCCTCATTTTCTAACCAAGTCTTAATAGACCTTGAGTTTGATTAAGTAAAAACAAAATTTGTATCAATTTTTCAAACCCATTACCGTAGATCAAAAGCAACATATCCGAGAAAAACCATTGAATGTTGAATACAAAACTTTCAAGTTAATATTTGTTTTAGTTTTAACTTCTACTTAACCCTGTTAAGCTTAAATATGAAACAATAGATTTTCTAAAAATTAAATTGTAAAAATAATTCAGAAAGTGAAATGAAAAAATGATAAGATATTGTATTAAGCCGGGCTAGTCCATTTATTTACAATTCCAGTAATAAACATGACTGCAATCAATTAATCTGATTGTATAATTTATTTTTTTCTTTTTTTTTAAACCTTGATTGAATCTTAATTGAACCGGATCAGGAACATGACTATAATAAAATACCTCAATTGAGTAGTTTGTTTTTTTTTTGGTTTTCCCTTGACCCCTCATTTTCTAACCAAGTCTTAATAGACCTTGAGTTTGATTAAGTAAAAACAAAATTTGTATCAATTTTTCAAACCCATTACCGTAGATCAAAAGCAACATATCCGAGAAAAACCATTGAATGTTGAATTGCAAAATTGAATTTTAATTAAATCCGCTTCTTCCTTGTACGAATTGAAAAGAAATAAAATACGATAGGGAGTCATCTACATGGCTGAGAGTGCTCTGATCAAGCCGGCCAAGGGGCTTTCCAACACCAATATATGTGCTTAAATCAATGGATTTTTGTTTTGCGTGAATTGATGTGTATACAATTTTTGGTTCATTCCCCTTTCAATGAGTCCACCAATTTAATTAGATAACTTAGCCAATACTTGCAGGCCCTTTAAATAAATTTCTTGATCAAATTATTCAATCATTATTTGTTCAGGAAATAATAATGGAACTTATGTTAGGTGCTTTGTTTGATACACCATCAAAGACCGCTGCTAGAGTGAGAAAGGGAAGTGGTTAGGCGATTAGGTGCGCTAACTGCAGTTTGAATGGCTGTACTCATGCCTTCTAATTACTTCACGCACAAGGTGATTAGGTGTTCTTAACACAGTTGTTAAGAAATTCGGGAAAGCAATAAAGGAAGAGCCCAAGAGGACCTTTGACCTGGTGGTGGTTTCTTCCACAACAACTCCTCATTTAATGCTTCATGCTGCAATATTGCTGCGCTAGTGAGCTGATCGAGACTTGTCTATCGGCATGTTTGGTGTGCTCAGCCCAAGATGGAGGATTAATTAAGGGATATAAAAACTGCTACCAATTAAAACCATGCAAAATACCCTTCTCTGGTGGGTCATACAAAGAGCTTTTAGATTGAAGTGGAAGGGGAGGCGGAACTCAGTGATATTCTTTTCTACTCGAATGAGATGGCACAGGGACAGGAGTTGAAACATCATTTTCAGAGACGGGTCATTGATCCAATGTGAATGTTCCTTCCAAAACAAGCACCGGGAAAGTTGTTCAGAACTGCATGTGAAATTCTGGTTAAAGAGGCATCATTTTTTAGTGATGCAGAGTGAAAGGAGGCTCCATTAGATTCGTTGACTAACCGGGCTTCCCTTTGAGTGTTGTTGCCGGATCTTTTGAGTGTTTCCGTTACAATACTCGTGGACCTCCTACAGATTCCAATGGTCGCATTATTGCATCAGGAGACCTCCTACAGACTCGTTGAAATTTTATTTTGTTTTAAATTATTTTTTAAATATTTTTTAGATTTTTTATATGTTAATACGTCAATATTAAAAATAAATTTTAAAATACTATAGTTATATATTTTTAATAAAATAATATTTTAAAAAACAACACTATCAAAAACACCCGCGACACATATCTTAACACTGACGTTAAACTCAGCCACTTTCCATGTCCTGTTTTTTCTTAGTTTAAGGGCCGTGTGGGCCAATTTGGTGGGCTTAACACCGACGTCATTAGAAAAGCGTGATAGCTTACCATCAAAGCCTATGTGGGCAATTAAGCTCAAATAGCCTGGTTTTGAGTGACTGCTTCCGGCCATTCCTGCTTGTTCTGCCATCCCATTCAAGGCCCGACTGTGTCTCAACTGTTCGTTTTGTTTTTCTTATAAACAAAGAGGATGTGACAGGACAAAAAAACTTTTTTTACAGGGTCCAAATTTGTTTGCCTGCGCGTTACCCAACAACTCATCAGTCAAGCCTAATCTTGATCTGGCCATGGGTGCCAGGAGTTACCCGTATTGTCGCAAAATCAGTCATCGACCATCGGAAAACCTTTTCTTCGAGCTCGGAGCCTCAAGAGTATGGATTCAAATATTATTGTTAGCTGTGGCTCAAAAGACATCGATTACTGCAAAATCTTGTAGGATGTATTAGTTAATATTGATGAAAAACCAACTTGTTTATCATACCACATGCCTTAAAGCTTTAGCATCCTCTAAGATTTGTGGTATGGAATTGAAGATGGAGCTCAATTAACAAAAAACACTAAACTAGCGAAGAATTTTATTGTTTCATCAACTCTACATCTTTTTTTGGTCATGTATTTCTTTCTTTTTTAATTTGATCATTCATGGCCTCGAAGTGGGGCTCTTGTAGAGTAAACAAAAATTCAGGCACAAGAAACTTAGGGGGAGAGAGAGACAAGTAAACAAAAATTCAGGCACAAGAAACTTTGGGGGAGAGAGAGAGAATAAAAAGGAGAAAAAGAAAGAAAAGGAAAATCGGTTACCAAACCCATAAGAGAGCTTTATCTCTATCATACGCTGCCTTGTAAGGATGTTATTGCCTGTACGATCTCAGCTACATCAAGAAAGAATGCCATCAAAGCTCGGAAAAAGCTGCATGCATTTTTATATTACGATGAACGTCCTCGAATCTCGACACGCTAATTACCTAATATAATAATTTTACTAAATTAATATTTTTTAATAAATTTTAAGTTGTTTTCATACTAGCAAGATAATTTTATATTTATATGAAAAATTATTAAAAATTTATTTTAAAAAAATAAATTATTGATTAATAAAGAATTAATTTCAAATAACCCTTGATTTTCCTACTTAAGAAGCTCTTAATTTTTCTAAATTTAATTGTTTATTTATGATGGCTAATTGGTTGGTAACAATATAAATTAATTCTTTAAACTCTTAACTTCTAAAATACACTATAAAAAGGGGTGAAAGAAGAGTTTAAGCCAATAATTTCTTAGATTTTTACACCTTATTCTTCACCTCATATTTTAATATTTTATACTTGCTTTATACTCTGGTTTTTCTGTAAACTTTTTCAGTTCATATTCATATTATTAAGAGATATTTGAGTTTTATATTTTTTGATCCAAAAAACTTAATTTAAAAATGTATTTAAATTAAGATTATGGTATTGAAATCTTGTGAGACATATTATATACATCCTAGTTGTAAAAATAAAAAGTAATAAAACCTTAAAAGATAAAGGATTCATACTTAATAACAATAAAAAATTTATTATTTTAAAGTGTTTTATTAACTAATTATTCTTCTTGCGTTAATTTAAACATAGTTAATTTAAATATTTTTTTCTTGAGTTCATGGATTTAACAAATATATATACTCTAATTTTTTTCTAGGATATCTTTTGTTTAGAATACTTGAGATGATAAACTAGCAACATATACTAATTATTTTTAAATTACAATTTTTTTATAATAAACTAAACACATTTGCACAATTTTGTTACCATAAGCTAAACATATTTGCTTCCATGTTCTAATGGTGCCCGGGTTCGTAATGTTCTGATTGTGGTAAACCATAACCAAGGTTAGGGTAAAAAACTTTGCGAAGTTGATTATATTTTTGGACATCAAAACCATGGATCTTCATGAGTTTCTTTTGTTTGGCCTTAAAGCGTTGCTGGAAGTAACCTTCAAAAGAGGGCTCAGTGGATGTTCTCAGGAAAAAACCATAAGCTATTGCGAAGTGAAGGGAGGTGACGAAGAAACATATCGGCTCCATGACATCCCAGTTAAGTTCCCAGAAGGTGAGCCTCATGAACCCAAGTGTCTGGATCATTATAAAGCCCAGCCCACAATAAAGCTCTCCTCGGACCTGGGTTCTAGCCTTCTGATCGATTATCACCTTAAGTTTCTCCATATGCTCAAGGTGTTTTCTTCTCGGATCATCAGGAGCAGCAATGGTCTGGGATATCATATTCTCCATTGATATCGCTACCTGGTACATTAAAAAGCAAAAAAAATCAAGATGAACACGATAAACTGAATTACATAAATTAGTTGACTTAATCATAATCATCACGATTATGGCATTATTTCTTCGGTTGTCCCTTGGCAGGTCTAGAAAAACAAATGGCCATAGGACAGTAAACACACACAGACCACTGTGTCCTATCTATGGACAAGGGCCATCAATATTTCGAAGAATCATATCCATTTGTATCACTTCTCTTAGGATACAGCCTCCTCTAGTTGGGGGCAAAAGTTACCCAGTAAAATTTAATGATCTTTTTGCCAGCAGCCCTTACATAATCTAATCTTCTTTGTCATTATATATAATTTAAATCTTACGGGGCACAGATTACAGCATAACAAGAAGGGGAAAAAAATGGGAGGACTGATGTTGATCAAATAGTTAAACCTAATTGAAATAAATAAATAAATACCTGCTCGGGCCTGAGAAACACAATGTTTCCTAAAACGATGACGTTTCCGGACTGATCAAGCAACTTGGCGAGCTCAACACCTTGACCTTCATTTCCACACTCATCAACACAAATTTTGACAAACTCCGAATAACAAATCGACCCTCTTGGAATCTCTCTAAGTTTGGCCTTCAACTTCTCCACAAGAGAAAACCTCAAGATCTTCTTCGCATTCTCAACAGAAATCCCGAACTTATTAGCCTCTCCAGCGATCTCTTCCGGACGAGTCAGACCATCAAGGTGGAGCCGGTCACCGGAAATGAGCTTTTCCCTTAACTTCTCTCCCACCGGCATGGACATGAATTCAGGGAACTGGCTAACGGCTCTACGGTGAAGGAAACGCCGGAAAAACCCTATATCGACGGAATCTCCAGTGAGAAACTCTTTAAATAGTTTCGTTTTGGATGCTGCATTATTTTGTGGTGTTGTAAGAGATTTAATTGGTGATGAGTGGTCTAGAGCTACTGCAGGCGATGCAACTCTATAACCGTTGGTCACAGCACGCTTCGAAAATAATTTTCGAAACGCCATTTGATTAGAACAGAGAGAATCCGGTGACTCGAAGTGCTTGAATGAGGTTGAAGAGTGATGATGAGTGAGAACGGCTAGGTGCGCGTGTGTGTCTATATATAGATACAGTTTTTTTAAATAAAAAAAAAAATAAAGGGAAAAAGAGGAGAATGCGAAATGAAAATGCATTGAATCAGTTTTTACCATTAATGACCCCGATCTGGATTCCATTATTAATTTATTACACCGACTTCTGTTGTAATAAATCCAGTCTGGTATCATAAGTTAACTCAGTAATGTTAACTTATGATATTAATTTTTTATTCGATTAACCCTGTAAACACTAGAAAGAGAGGTTCAATTTGATTTTTTAAGATTTTTTTAAAAAACAATATTATTTTTATTTTATTTTTTGAAAATCTTAGAATAATATCGTTTTAAATTAACTTGGATTCATCTTAATAATAATATCAAATTCTCTTTGCAATCTTAATTTTTTTTTTCGTTCCAAAAAATTATGATTCAAGCTGCTAAAAGCGCTACCCTATAGCAGCATAACTAAATGATTAATTTGTAATAGGAATTTGCAAAACATGAATAATAGTTCATAATTAGTGAAGAGTGTTTTTTCTTCAAGAAAGGAAAACACTTTTCCCTATCAAAGCCATATGTTTTCTTTTGAATGACAAACATTTTCATTGATTTACTTTATGAAACAAAAAACCAAGCTCTAGAAAATATGCTGCTGTAAGCAAATCTGGCGTTGGGTAGCCCTAACATCACTGGAGCTTTTTCAACGGAGAAGCACGAGAAAATGCAGATGTGAGAAGAGACAAGCGCAGACAAGAACTTCAAGTATGATGCAATAGACTATGAATGCTTCATTGGTCACCGGTAGAAACGTCGCATGCCAAAACCTCCTTACTTGTCACCTCGGAGGGCTTCTCTTCTGCATGCATCGCCCTGCCCTTTTGTATGCCTGCCAAATGCCTCGCAGAGCTTGCTTCCATGAAGAATGCCTGCCATATGCACTTTCAATGAAGAACATATTTCTTTCTTTCCAATCCTTTTAGATAATGCAAAAGGCTTCTCTTTTGCTGCCTTACGGGAAAATAAATGGTCAGATTTGCTGCCTTACGGGAAAATAAATGGTCGAGAGAAGGCTCAAACGGGGAAAAACATGGTATAAAACTTCATCTGAGAAAAAACCATTATGATTTTGTCAGACGGGGAAAATTTAGATTTCTAGATGAATCTAAATTTGTTAAGTACAGGACATCCTAAATACTATATATATATACCCATTTAACATAATTAACATCATTTTAAGGCCTTATATAATAAATCATTTTAAAGCCTTCTTCATAAAAACACTGGAGTTTTAATTTGATTCTTCTGAGATACATCAATTCACATCTCTTAGAGACAACTAGACTCGGACACGGGCTGAAGATTTTTTTTTATTAGTTAAAAAAAAAGACACAGAGTACGCAAGCATGTTTTAAAGAAGTAAAAACACAAGACTCGAAGTATAGAACTGACTGAGCAAAAAAATATGGTATAATTTAAATGGATAATAAAAGAACAAATAACTATGGAAAACAGACCCATTTAAAAGACAAGAAAACAGAAAGAATCATGGAAACCTGCAAAAAAAAAAAAAAAAAACGGTTATTAAATCAAAAAAAGACAATGAAGCTGACGTTTCAGACAATCAAACATGGAAGAACAAGACTTAAAAAAATAACAACATGACCCAACTTTAACGAGCATATATTAAATATGTCAGTCAGATTATTAAATTGGGATCATTCAATTAAAAAAAAAAAGAAGTAAAATTCTAAATAAATTCAATGTAGAAAAGAATAAAAAAACAATTCTATTAAAAAAAAAAGCCAACAAATCTAGCAAGCCAATTAAACTCTATGATCCGGATCATTCGAATAACAAAACTCAACAAAAATAAATAAAAAAACATTGTGAAGTTCCATTCTAAAATAATATAATATTGAAATAAAAAAATATAAGAAATATTAAATAAAAAAACTAAAAAATTTGCTATTAAATAATAGAATTGAAAAAAATATCAATTTAAAAAATTAGTCAAATAAAATTCAACAAAAAATAACAAATGAAAAAACTTAATATAATTTAGGTTGTTTTTAAAATTAGTGTAAAATTCAATAGAAAAAATAAATAAAAATAATAATATACAATCTTCAATTGAATACATGTTGAAGGACAAAACTTAAAAAACACAAGCCCAAGGAAAAAGGAAAAAATATTCAAATAAAATTCAATAAAGAATGAAAAATAAAAAGATTCAAGATAACCTGAGTTATTTTTAAAATTAGTAACAAAAAAAATAATAATACTTAATCTCCAATTAAATAAATATTGGAAGATAAAACTTAAAAAAATATAAGCTCAAAAAAAAAGAAAAAAATTGTCAAATAAAATTTAATAAAAAACAACAAATAAAAAGTCTTGAGATTGCTGGAATCATTTTCAAATTCAGTAAAAACATTCAACAGAAAGCAAATAAAAAAATGTCGTCCACTCTTTACCTAGATAAATGTTGAAAAATAAAATTTTAAAAAATATAAATTCAAAAAAAAGATAAAAAAAAAGGTAAACTCATATAAAACTTCTAATCCTATATTAATGTGTAAAGCTTGTGATCCAATTAAATCTTTAACCTAATCTCAATTAAAAAGTTCAATTTTTAACTAATTTAATGTTGAGAAATGAAATTGTAAAAAATAAATAATAATAGAAAAATAAAAATCAAATATGATCGGAAATAAAATATAAGAAGAATAAAATTAAAAAAATCAATTTAAAATATTATCCTAATAAAATAAATAACAATAAAAAAATAAAGATTAAATTTAAAAGATAAAAAAAATTGAATGAGAATGAAATTGAAATTGAATTTAAATTTTGTAAATTATTTTAAATAAAATAAATAGTAATAAAAAAATAAAAACTAAATCTAAAAGAAAAACATATTGAACAACTACTTATAGAAATTTTAAGAGACAGATGAGAAAATTAAAAGGAAAAAAGAAAAGAAACAAAAAATTCATCAACAAAATTCACCAATATCAAACTAGAAATTTATCGGGCACTTGCATCACCGCGTAGTAGAGAGGATGGCCAAGACAATCCAAACACCCCAACTGTTCAGTAACTTTGAGATCTCAGCAATCCCAAAGGGATTACTGAAACCATATATGAATTAGGAATATTAGCCGCACAATTCATGTATTTGCGGTAAATTAGGTTACGAGGAACCACAATGTGGAGTACTGTTGAACTGACATGGCCAATCCTTTCAAATTGCAGCAACTGGTTGCACTTTCTATATTAAATAACTACGATAAATATCCCATTAGCCAATATTTGAGGAGATGACACGGCGGAAAGAAAGCTGCTTTTCTTCGAATCTTTTGACCAGATTACACCCGGTCATTAACAAAACATCATTTGTGGGGTGCTTTATTTGAGTTGGAGAAAAGGTGCAAAGGAAGTCCCTCATTGTGGGTGATTGATTATAAAGAACTCCCACGTTGTGGGATCTAAATTGAATCCTTGACCAAAAAGGGTTGGCATCTTTTGTAGTGTTCTTGATCGTAATAGTAAAGTGAACATCCAATCATCGAGACCGGTGGAGATAATGGAATTGTGGAAACTAATCACAATAAATGCCAAAGAAGAAACCATCGTTTTCTAGGTGGAAAAGAGTTTGATAATGCCAGGTTCATCGTGATCGCCTGAAGAAATTATTACGCCTTTGAGTCTATATCGACTAGCTTAAATACGAACAAATTTAAGGCTAAAGAAATGGAAATCATTGGCTTCTTCTGCTGGCTTCATGCTTTTTATGGCTAGAATTTCCTTCTTCCACGGGCCAAATTCTGTTTATGAAACTTCCATGCTTATTTTTTTTCATGCCCGTATGCAGGCCAGAGGTAGTAATTTGTAGTTATCGAAAATCGTCTTGTTACAGGAGTGACTAAATTGTGATCACAAGAATTTTACTACACTAGATTAGAGACCCACTGGTTTCGCCGATAAAGCTTGAAAGGGAGATTTTTTATATGAAAAACAATTAAGAATCAACCAGCTAATGAGGATGATATATACCACCCATGTTAAGAGATGAGCAGATGACTTTGAAAGATTCGGACGCTTTCCGGTCTTAAAACAATGATGGATTTTGGATCCATGCAGCACGCTGCATCTGATTTGATATTCAAAGTGCTTGCTCTGTAATGGGGTGGGTCCGGTGGGAGATGTTCTTACTCCGACGACAATACCAAAAGTTTTTGGACGAAAACTAATTTCAATGGAGTGTATTAATAAATAAAATTAATGGTAAGTGAACCAACAATGGATGGTCAACAAATTAGCTAATTAAATGAATGGTAGACAAATTACTTAGTAAAGAAATCATTTGGCGCCACAGAGATCATGTTTAGATTTGGTTCTCAAGAGAAACAATTATCCCATATGATGTAGCAAGTGAAGAAACTTCATGTAGAAATAGACTTTTCCTAGCTAGATTTGAGATGTTTTTGTGAAACCAGTCTCCTATTAAGACAGAAACCAAAAAACACTTACGTTAATATAGCTATTGTCAAGAATGGCAAGGTTTTTCCTGGCTAGGAATGTCTTGGCTTGTTTTTCCTTTCCACTTGCATTGGTGATTAGGTGTATCTATACACTAGCCCTTGAGCCTTTTTCATGGAAAAGGATAGTATTATTTGTGCTTGCGATGGTGGTAATTCATTGGAGAAAAAATGGTTCTTTATCCAGTACTTTTTGTAAAGGAAAGTATAGCTATTGATTGATCTGTCATGCTATGGTTATTGCTATGCGTGTAATTGGTGAAAATATTAGTAATAGCACTTACATAACGATACTGCCATTGGCATAGAAAACATTATAGCTCTGCATAGAAAAAGATGTGCGCACAGAACAAAGCGTGTACATAGAAGGCTTGTGTGAGCAGCTCTTAGGCACCTGGAAAAATACATGGAGAGGTGTATCGGGTGAGCTTGATTGGTGTCGGGATG